TTGAGCAACGCAACGCTAGCAGAGTCACGATGACCTGCCGAGGCATCACGATTGGTATGTAGGAAATGCAGCAGCATTCATGGAATAGGTTAGCCAAAGAACAAAGATGCTATATTGTGAACGCCACCAAGCTGACAGAGCAGCCTTACTACCGATATATCCCCGCGCTTCGTAGGCCTATCGCGCTCCACGGATGTGCCCGTACGGACAAGCGAGAACCGCATATCCAGGCAGACTATCGCTTCATATGCTCCTAAGTAGCAATTGTACGATGTGCCACTTCACCGCTTAGACCCCGCGTCAGCTGACTTACATGCGCTCGAATACCCCACGCACCATCTCGCCCATCGTTCCCGCAGACACGGTACCAGGCGAGTGTCTCGGGACCTGTAACGATGTCGGCACTGCCTAGTTATCACTCACCGGAAACAGGGCGAAGATATATCCGGTTGCTATTCGTATGTTCTTTGGATAGCATTGGATACGATATCCCACTTGCATCATTCTATACATGGTATACACCGCCTTCTTTATCTCCAAATGTTCGGTTGCTCCTCCGCGTGTTGGTTCCACCAAGTCACAATGACCTATGAGTCAGTAGCAAGGCGTCACTGTTTTGACCGGAATCATTGCACGCAGGACGAGCAACCCAACATCGTTCGTTGCCCGAGGCGACACGAAGGAATCATGACAGGGTCAACAGCTTATAAAGCTTACGAGAAAGCACAGTGGAGATTCACTTGTTCCTTACAGCGTATTCCAACAATGGGCAAACGTCCTGGTTGAAAATGAGAGGGTCTATTATTGAATGATACGTATAAAGGTCCTCAACGCAGATGAAGCCAAACAATCGACTTGGGGGTATATCCATATCTTCCACCAAGCCTGGCGGGATCGAATGTCCTATCCAGACAAGAATCCCGCTGAACAAAGAAAAATCCCCCAAACGCCCCCGGTGTTCTTCTAAAATAGTCGTAACGTCGTCATATTATACATCTCCCATCCATGAAGTCGAGCGTTGCTTGGTCTTACATCAAGACTCCAGCCAGCACCATCATGCCAACGGCGTAGTATCCGACGTACTTTCCGGCACTCAAGCTCATAGCTCCGCTTTCGTCAGTGCCACCAGGCGCAGTGGTGCCTTTCTCAAGGGTACCATTTAGAACAAGAGACCTGGTGCCATTGACATCAGAAACTGTGACGAGTGTCTTGTTGAGTGCGGCATAGCTGCCGTTACCGACAAGATCGTTGAGGTATTGCTGGTCGTCGTTTTCGTCGCATCCACAGACGAAGTCCTCTTCGCACAAGCACACGACGGGAAGAGTCTCATTGCGGCCCTGCGTTTGGCGTGTCCACAGTGCGCGCCGGTCATTGTCGTTGTCGTCATCGTCGTTGGTCGCGGACTGGTTGTAAAAACGGTAGGGATTGTTGTAATAATAAGGGTAAGCGCTGTGGAGCCACAGGCCGGGCATGATGGCCACTACGAGGGCTACTCCAATCAAAGGAGCGGCGATGAGTCCCTTGGGCGTTCTGGAACCAGCGGTGTAGGGTGTTCGAGCTCCCCCGCCATAGTATTGTCCACCGCCGAAAGTGCGCGGTCGACCTGATCCAGCGGAGGATAAGCCACCAGCGTTGGAGGAGGGTGATGTACGTCCTGAAGAGCCGCCACCGCTGCTTCCTCCACCCGAGCGACTGCCGCCGCCTCCGCCACCACCTCCACGGCCACCGCCTCCCTTGCGACGCTCTAGTGTGTGGTCTGGTGAGACAATCTCGGAGGGAGGAACAACTCGTCGCTCCTCGAGGACGTTGAAGGCGTTGGATTCGGGTATCGAGGCGGCGCTGATTGCTTGTGCGGCAACAAGGCCGGTGAGGATCTGTGAGAACTTCATGATGAAGTTGATGTGTGACGGTGATACAGGAGATTCGCGGATGTAATTTGCGACACCAGATCTCGGGTCGAGGTAATACCGATAAAGCTACAGGGATGTGATAGTAGTGTGGTATGAGAAAGCAAAACGTGAGATGTTTGCAGTGTGATTGTGTAGCGGAGTTGCTAGGTATAGGGTAGGATCAATGTACGGGTTTGTGAAGAGGCAGGCGTGGGTCTTTAATGTTGTGCTGGCGGGAGACATGGGTTGCACAGCCCTGCGTCATCAAAGAAAGCCTGGGGCAAAGGGTAAAGCTTAGTCGGTTGCGACCCGCCACCATACCAGCCAAGCTCAACGCCATAATCTAGCAGGCAGTTGGGTGCCTGACCAGTTGTTCCCGATCTGACCATGCTATAGGCTAAATCCTAAAGATTTTTGTGGCTGAAGCATGCGATTCCTTTGGGCGCCCGTTGATATACGCCGTAAAAGCGCCGTTGATCTGCTCGAATGGGCGCAATGCTGCACAAATGCCTGACACAATTTGGATACCTTCTCACTCTCGACCACAACTTGAGTCTCTCCCTGAAAGTCTTCACTGTAGAATATTCATGACGTGCAAATCGATCAAGTGCATCGAATTACTCAGGGTATATGACCTCATAGTTGCTGATCTGCCGAGGCACTAAACGAGCCTCCCGAACCAGAGGTGTGGCCAAACGCATCACAGACTTGATGACCAACAAACCAGAAAGCAAGCTCTGCCGAATATCCGATTGCGCCTCGATGTGGTTTGCTAGCGGGAGGCATTGCAATCGCTATGAATCACTACCATGGAACCTCGTCATTGGTGCGCAAATGTGCTCTGGGCATACGGCGCGGAAACAACGAACGCCAAGAACGCAATCTTGGGTGTGTGGGACTGCACGCATCAATCTGCGCGAACGATAACAATGAATGTTGTGTCTTGCATGTATGGATCTCGAAGCGTATGGTGCTTTGTTGGCACAACCCGATATTGACAATGGGCAGCATCGTGGCAGGATTGACGAAAGGACCAGAGTAAAAGGCTTGGCAGTTCTGACGGAATATCATCATACTATGGTGCAGGGCGCCTAACCGGTAAACGATGCTTCGTGATACTTGGATAATGGCCGCACCATATGCCCATTCCTCCGCCGGCCTGCTTCTTCAGTAAAGCTCTTTGTTGTCCGTCGGGCGCCTGGTCCTCATTGTGAACAATTTCTACGATATAATTGTTGATTTGTTCGCGTGACCCTACGCGTTATTACTGCACATGCGAATAGAGTATCCGCACCTCGAGCCGTTGATGGGCCACCGATAGTCGTAGGGCTATGTATACGCCGGTCCCTTGGTCTGGGTTCAACGGTGGCGCAGCCAGGGCACATGGTAGGCCTGGTACTTCGTGACCGTATCTGCGGGCAGCAAGGCTGATGTGGCGCTATGCCTATCAGTCGCCGGGCTTTGCGCAGCAGACATGGTCTACTCGGGCTATCATCGTGCTTGCGGTGGTGGTTCAGCGGGGCCTCCATCCGACACTGTCTGGTATTTCCTGTATTCCTGCTCGAGTTCTCTCTGCATCTCGAAGTCGGCCTGTCGTTCGCGCTTAACTCGTTGCTGTTCGAAGTCCCGGATGACGCCCATATGCATTGCCTGATACAAGTTAGATAATTCCTGGACCATGTCCGTTCCGCAGTACTCACAGCTTTGTCGTTCCTCTGCGACCAGTGCACAAATGCTACGGTGCCGATTGCGGTGACGCACGTAGTCGCCAGTGTGATCTGCGACGCTCGAGACATGGCGGGGACCGTGGAGTAGAGGCGAAGTTGGGGACGAGGCCTTGTGTAAAGTTGGAGCGGCTTCTCTGCGGGTGGGAGCTTGGGCCCTGGAGCACCTTCCGCCAAGTCCACGGCTACATCGTGCCTCTCCGCAACTCTACCCTGTGACAACCAACATCCCCGCAAATCAGCACTCAAGATGGTGAGGACATCAATAGCAGGATACCGGAGCGAACGCTGACAGCTGCAGTCCGCCCAAAACTCCGCGGGAATCCAGACCCTGCTCGATGTAAGGCAGCGCAACCCACTACAACCTCCGCATAGCTCACACCGCACCTAGGCCGAGCGCGAAGCTCAGAAGATTGTTCAGCAAGGTATTTCAGCACACAAGCTTGCCTATTCGGGTAGTCGCTAACCGCTCACCAGCAAGAGAATGTAAACAACGCCCGACGTACCCAGCCGCATCAACACTCTAACCGACCCAGACCGTACGAAGCGAGTAAAGGACGCCCGAAACGAAGCACAGAAGGAGATCGAGGATTACAGGAAAGAGAAGGAGTCCGAATACCAGGAGTTCGAGAAGAAGGTGCGTTGGTCGAGACGACCTACTATACGCGTAACGAAGATGGGAGACTAACTAGGGCGCAGCACAGCTCAGGCAACCAGAAGGCTGAAGAGGACGCGAAGAAGGACACAGATGCCAAGGTCAAGGAGATTGACGAGATTGGCAACAAGTCTGGCAGCAAGGTCGTCGACCAGCTCATCGAGGCCGTCGTAAACGCGCACCCCAAGCCACCGGGCAAGCAGGACTAGAGCACCAACACGGGGGATAGGACGAAGCGTGGATTCAGACTACTGCGATGCTGTTGAGGAGACATATGAAGAAGAGCGCTCCTTGTACATGATCTTTGACGGGCCCAAGACAGTCAAGGTCGATCTATCGGCCTCGAACATACCAACAATAGACGATATGCTGCGAGTTTGGTGAATGTATTCCAGTTCAACATGCCTTTTTCTTCTAGGCTTAATAGTCGAGTTGATGTCTATCGTGAATTACATTCCAGTCTTCCAAGGTCACCAACCCGATGCTCTTGTATATCGCATACAACTGCATTGGTGACGTCCTAGAAGTATGCATCTGTACTGTGTTCTTAACCTCGCAGGTATGAATAGCAGACGAAATGCTTATGTCTTCCGCTGTTGCTGCACCTCTCTACTCGTTGCGGACCCTGGCCCACGTTCGTCCTAGCTTCCCGAGGGCCTACGTCACTGCTGTGGAACTTTATCGCTCGAGCATCAACGCGTCCCCAAACTGCAATACAATGCGCTGCACCCAATGATACGAATCTGTGCTCGAGCGACCATTCGCTCGCCTGTATACAGAATCACATCATGTACAGTCTCACCAATAAATGCGACACGCCAATTCAGCAGCTCGCAATGTCGCAAAGAAGATCCGCGCATCTCCGACTTTGGTCGCGAGATTGTAGATGAGTTTGCCGTAATGCGCGAGAAATATGGTATGCCTATGCCACTATCAAACTCAACTTCTGGAAGTAGCTAACGAAAAGTAGATGCACCTGTATGTGCTTTCGTCCTTCGCACATCGCACCCCTGACCCTTCCAGAAACACACCATAGTCCTTGCACACGGTTTGCTAGGCTTCGACGAACTACGGCTCGCAGGACAATTCATACCTGGCATACAATACTGGCGTGGCATCACAGATGCGCTGGCGCACAAGGGCATCGAGGTCATCGTGGCTGCGGTCCCAGCCAGTGGCAGTATCGAGGCGCGCTCTGCGAAACTGGCCGAGAGCATTGCGCTCAAAGCGAAGGGAAAGCAGGTCAACATTATCGCGTGAGCTGAATTGACCCAATGAGATGCTGCATCGCAGACCACTAACAATTCATAGGCATAGCATGGTATTGACACATTGACATGATACAATAATGAGTGACTGACCTCTACTTAGGGGTAATCAGTGCCTACACCCACGCAGTGCAGTTACTAAATACACGTAGGGGTCTCGACTCACGATACATGATCAGCCAGCTCCAGCCGACTGACTTCAAGATTCTCTCTTTGACCACCATAGCCACTCCACACAGGGGTTCTGCTTTTGCAGATTACATGTTCGAGACGATCGGTCGTACGTCAGTGATACTTCTTGAATGCTTCTACTAAACTATTTCTAGCACGCAGAATCAAACGCGTCTACAGTGTTATGGAGTACTTCGGTCTTGAAACTGGCGCCTTCTCCCAACTCACGCAAGAGTACATGAACAATAACTTCAATCCCAAGACGCCAGACATACCTGATGTCAAGTATTACTCATATGGCGCATCTCTCGAACCCACTCGATGGTCCGTCTTTGCGCCTTCCCACAGTATCGTCAAAGCAAAGGAGGGCATCAACGATGGCCTGGTCAGGTGCGTGGACGGCTGGCGTTTGATACGCTTAATGACAACTAACCACGTCGATAGCGTCGAGTCGAGTCGGTGGGGCGACTACAAAGGCACCTTAATTGGTGTAAGCCATCTCGACCTGATCAACTGGACGAACCGCCTGAAGTGGTTCTTTTGGGAGCTTACGGGCAGCAAGCGCAAGTATGGAAGCAACGCTCACAACGACCGCTGAATTTGAGCTGACCATGATGTAGCTTCAATGCCATTGCATTCTATCTTGACATATGCGGTCAGTAGCTCTGGTCCAAACTTTCGTGACAGATCACTGACATGGATTACAGATATGCTGGCCAAAGAAGACCTGTGAACTTGCCAGATGCACAGCAACAAGTCGCAATTGTGGATGCGTTCTGGTCCTCCTGAATCTGACGTCCGAGCAAGCTTGTGCGTCGTCGTGGGATTCAGCTCCGCCCTTTGAAAGAAGGCTGTTGATTAATGAGCCTCAGCTGAGGAAGCGTTGCGCCCAGTCACACGACGCGATGCTCATGTAAGACAGGGGTCAGCTTCAGCCCGGAAGTGCGGCTATGGCTGTGGCTGTGTCCGGCACATTGTCCGAAATGGGCACATGGCATGCCGAATATGTACACTCAAAGTTTAAGTAAATACGCAAAAAGATACTCTCTTCAGGGCACAACCTTGAGCGTTGCCGCAGAAGCCGTGCAAGAGAGTGGTTTGGGTGATTGTTGCGTTGAAAAGCGTTTGCGTTGGGTTATGACGTTGGGGACGGACCCTGGTCAGGCAGAAGGAACCCCGCGGGCATCCGTTCTGGAGATGCCCAGCCCGCATCGCACACACTCCCACGACATGACACGCGTTCCCTGGGCTTAGCCGCTGCATCACCAACTGACTTCATGCGCTAAATTGATCCTCTGCTCCCCAGCTACAACCTTTATCCTTGACATGTCGGTTCACTTCTACAAGCTTCGCGACTACCCGTTTACCTAGCCACCCGGTGCCTGGAAGCAACATTGAAATACTGGCCACTAATCCTGAACGCGAACCTTCAAGATGATCGTCAACATAGTGCTCGAGAACCCTCACGAGCACTACACTAATCTCGACGTCATCCAAGGCAGAGTCCATCTGCGGGTGCCGAATCCGACCAACATTAGCAGCATTATCGTGAAGCTAGAGGGCGAAAGCAGGACGCGACTGCTGGCACCCATACACCCAAACAGACCAGACAAACAGCGGCCTGTGCTGGAAGTCCACAAGTTCCTGTACAAGACACAGGTGGTGTGGCCGACAAATGTGCGCCCCGAAGATGTCGCCCAGAATCCGAAGGCAGCCTTCACCATCAACGCCGGGTCCTTTGAGTACCCGTTCCAGTTCAAGGTACAACGCGCAATTCACGTCAACATAGCGCCTATAGCTAACAACCCCCTCAGCTTCCTCTCAACACGCAATGCCAGCAGACGAACAACCCCATCTCCAACGTTTCCTTTTCGAACGCGATACCCGAATTCGCAAAGACGCCGACACAACACGTAAAGGCGACACTACCTCCTACACTAGGTGGATTTCCGGGGGAGGCAGAGATAAGATACTTTGTCAAGGTCACCGTAAACAGGCCGCAGTTCTTCAAGGAGAATCCGAGGGCAATTGCGAACTTCAATTTCCTTCCAATTGAACCTCCAAGACCAGACAAGACGGACGGCGAGGCGTATGCGAGGCGACAACATGAGTTCCTTGAGAATGCTCCCAGCGTAGCGGCAGGCAAGCGAATGAGCTTCTTTGATAGAAAGAACTCGACAGGAAGTGCTCCGCCATCACCGACGACAGGCAGTGTGCCACCTCGGATAGCCATTGATGCCCGATTGCCTAATCCTGCCATTCTCACTAGCAACCAAGACTTACCGCTGAGACTACTTGTGAAGAACGTCAGCGCGCGCACAAAGAACATATATCTGCAGATGCTCCAGATTGAGCTGATAGGGTATACCAAGGTACGCGCGCATGATGTGTCACGGACAGAGTCGAACAGCTGGATTCTGTGCTCTTTCAGTAACATGGCCATTCCCATTGGAAGCCCCTCTGACCCTCTCGATACGGAAGTGCCCATCAATGCCGAGTACTGGTCTGGGAAACCGGTACCCAATACTGTGCCACCCACCTTCACGTCCTGCAACCTCGCGCGTTTCTACGAGTTGGAGATACGTGTTGGCGTTGGCTATGGGAGCTACAAGCACGGTGAAGATCAGCTCATTGTCTTACCCCTCAGACTACCAGTCAAGGTCTACTCGGGCATCGCGCCACCCAAAGCACTCCTGGAGGGTGGTTTCCCTGCAGACAAACCCACCACACTTGCCCCACCGCCCCAAGCAGCTGCTCACACACCAACAACGCCAACACAAGGAGGTTTCAACGCATCTAACGCGTCTTTTGGGCAGCCAGTACAGCCCCAGCATGCTCCCGCTTATGACGATGCGCCGCCGAGCTACGAGGACGCGATTGGACAGGATCTTCCCCCGATCAATGGGTACAGAGGTAGTTACCAGCCCCCTCCTGCACCCGAAGGCGCGCCTAGGTTTTCCGACGAAAAGAGACGATGAAGACGTATACAACGCCTATGTTCGTTTCTACAGCCTGAAGTCTAGCTGCTGTGCACCCTGAGGATTACACTACGTGTTTGTCGGCACATCAACACGAATCACCGCCAAGGCCTTCCATGGACACCATATAATGGTTACCACCTGAGAGGAAACGAATTCCTCTGTAAACGTCAAGGAACAGGGATATGCCGCGGATCAGCACCCCGGACGCGTCGAGAAGTGGCGATATGGTAGGGAATGAGCGAGTCTAGGCGGGCGACATGCGACCAAGAAGAACCTTTGGGCCGCAGCGAACGGCCTAAGAAGCATGCGTGCTGCAACCGAAGTGGGGGCCATGCAGCAGTTCTATGGCGGAGGTTGATCTCTTTCTACCCAGTAATCACCCTTGCTAATAGCTTTTCTGTAGTTATCGGCGGAGCAATCTGAAACAGTATATTGTAGTCTGGTGTATGTCGCAAGCTTTTCATCGTTACAGTTGGCTTTAATACCGAATCACTATGTAGCTCAATGTGATCATTCAAAACGTTTGTACGTCTAGACGACATTCTTGGATAGATGTGTTCAGGTGCGGGGCATACCGTGTGACCGGTGAAGCTACACGGCAGATCGGTGGAGAGCGGCAGAATGGCACTATGCAAGCCATGCCTGTCACCAGCCATCAAGTGAGGCGTGTGAGGCATTAACGCGGTCATGGTGTGCCACTGGTAGATGCCCAGGTGTTTGCGACCGCTAGCTTTGTTGTGGTTGCGACCTTTGCGCAGACGCGTCTGTGGGAGCAACATTGCTGAACGCGCTGTAGGTATCGGATGTACCAAAACCATAAGCAAAGACACTGCCGCCCACTCCCAAGGCTGTATCGTGCATTCGACGCGACACAATGCGGTCACGATACTCTGGTGGTGTTGACACTGCGTGACTGCCTTAGCCACAGACGCGCCTTCCGGCTAGCTATCGATAGCTGGGTCCAAAACAGCCTTCACCTTCAAAACAGACGCGCATAGCCGGCACCAATGCAAGCACGGCATTTGTTGTTGTTGTGGTCCTCGAATCGCGACTCTCCAGAGCAACGTCCAGAGCCCACTGTGCGCACTAACAGACGCGTCGTGCCTGACTTACGGGATGAGTAACAGCCCTGCACGCGACGGGATCGCTGACCGCCAGTCGTGACTGTTTAGCCACAGCTTCCAAGACCTGGATGCAGACACGGTGCAAGACTAATGCAAGAGCCGCATACACTATCCCGTGCATGCTTCGAGCCGGTTGGTCAGAATGCGTGAAACGTTTCAAGCCGGCTCCAGGCTGCAGCCCCACTCGACCACTTGGTCGAATCGTCGCGTCTAACACCATATATACACGTCTACCCACCGCGAGATGGTCGCGTTTTCTGATCAATTCTTCGGCTGCTTTGCGTTAAGAGTTGGGAATCCGGTGGCGGGCTCGTTGGCATCTAGGGGAACGACCTTTGACTCACACCTGCAGCTCACGTGTAGTAGCGTCTGGCCCCGCTTTGCAACCATGCACCGCGCTGTGGTAAATACAGCTGGGGACGAGGTCGTGGCTGGTCCCGTCGGATCTTCTGTTTCCTGAGGTTTCGCTCTTACTCTTTCGAATGCTGGATGTTTGAAACGACTTTTACGATTTACTTGAGATTTACCACGAGATTGATACCTTGAAGAATAAACGACCTTTTTACGAACCAACACTATTGCATGCGACCCACTCGACTATTACAACATGTACTCACAGCGATCGTCGCCACCGCCACTGAAGCGCTCACATTCGGGTGAGAGCCAGAACAGCTATGCCAGCGCTGCGACAACAGTATCGCGCGCAAGCTCCAAGTTACTGTTTGGAGAGATCCCATTGACACCTGCGACGACAGTAGATGGACGATGTAAGTACCCCGTCGCAATGCGCGCGCACTCATCCTAACGTCATGAAGCGATTCGTTCCAATGGCTCCATCTGCAACCTGGTCCTCTCCACGAGCTCAGTCTTCTTGCGCTTCTGGTTAAACGACGCCTGCCGCGACAACGTACTGGATCACATGGAAACTGAAGACCTATCTAATTTCCGCCTTGTATGCCATGACTTCTCATCGAAAGCCGCGCCACGACTCTTCGAGAAGATGACCGTGACCTTCAAGACATCTACCTTTTCCAAACCAGCGCGCATCGAAGCGCTATCGAGGATAGGCCGTCACGTCAAGACCTTTACCTTCCACATGCCACATGGCCCAGAGACCTGCTTGCCACCCATCATCGACCCGTGCACTGGCACAGAGAAGCAGTTCATCTACGAGCCCCAGGTCCAGACACCGCAACATGGACCGGCCAAAGACAAGGCGCCCAAGTATGGCAGCTGGGAGATGCAGGACTTGCTCATCAAACAGTACCCACCACTGTTCCATGCCGCGACCAATGTCCCTGCCTTTTGCGCCGCCTTCTCTGAACTGATCAACCTCACACATCTCAAGGTCTCATGTCCGGGATCTACTGGCTCACTTCGACACCGACGAGGTGTAGTCGACTATGCGCTCATCTCTCTCCGCATCGCCATTGAGCGCGCTCCATTGTACAGCCTCTCTGCTCTTTCCCTCCACCCCATCCACCCTGGTGGCCTCTTATACCTCCACCCCATGCACGGCTTCGGCAGCACACCGTCCTCAGCCAAGCGCTGGGGCCAAATCCGTCGCCTGTCAATCTGCATGGAAAGCATACCCTTCAACTCAAGCTCATCGCGCACCCGCGCCCAATCTCTAGAACACCTCCGTATCCTGCACGCCTACCTCGCCACACTCTCGCGCGGCCTAACGCGTGTCTTCTTCCGCTGGAAAGGCGAGCGAGGGCCTTCACCCCTCTCACTCGACCGTGAACCTTGCATGCTTCCCAGCCGAGAGGAGTCCACTCACCCCTCTCTCCGCGGCCAAACCAATGGTCCCCGTCCCCTGAAGTTCCCTCGCCTCCGCGTCATGGAACTGGAAAACGCGCTCATGGACTCCGCGCAAATCAGCGACTTCATCACAAAGCACAAGCGCTCCCTCCGCGAGTTCAACTTCGAAGACGTCAAACTGCGCGAGGGCGACTGGGATCTCGCGCTTGAACCTCTGACTACCATCTCAGGGAGTGATCGGTGGAAGCAGTATCAAGAAGAGGTCATGGATGTTCCCATTATGCTCTCGCCTATTGATGCCGAGCCGCGGGTCATGGGCCCGTTGCTTGAGGAGATCGAACAGGCCATCGAAGAGGTTAGTGGAAAGGAGAGGAGAGAACATGCGCTGTCGAGGTGGTTGGGTAGACCACGACAGTCAAGTAAGAAAGATAGCTTCTGGGGTGGAGGCAAGAGGTTCCTGCATCTTTCGAGCTGGAAGGGCAGCTCGCCCGTCATGGTTAGGTGAAGTGGCTGTGCTTGTTTTCCTGGGTTCTTGTCTGGTACTAGGGAGTTTTGCTGTGGTATGTCACGGTTGATACCCCTCGGGCATGGTTTCTGGCGTCTGCTTTCTGTCTTTATCGTTCTTGTGTTGTTGGGTTTCGGATAACGGCCTCTCATGTCCTCTCTTTTTGATTTCCTTTGTCTTGTCTTCCTCCCGCTTTTTACGACTCAACGTCTCCACGGCCTTTACGACTACTCCGAAAATCACGTTTGCGCATCATTACGATGGTATGAGTAGAATAGTATGACCTTACGATCCTTCAATGACATTTCCTTCTGGTCCTTACCTTATGTTTGCGCTCATTGCATCGTTTCAGCGTGATTTGGGTGTCTACTTTAAGATGAACCAACTCCAGGGCTGTGCCCATATTATGCCGTACCTGCAAGGTGTCCGCACGTTTGTTTACAGGCCATGTTTATGCCCCAAACTCTATATATTTATCATGCGCAGACATTGTGGTCATTAGCATCCACTGAGTTGTTGAACACCCATTAATTAGAAGTGTGTTATTCGAGAGAATTGGTATATATATTCGCCTCCAGCCTCGCATCTATAGCTTAGCTTTGTTCTGCACCTTCTTAAAGATAGGCTCTAACTTCGTCGCGCTCATAACATTTCCCTTGACCTTCAACTTCCCGCTCATAAACAGCTTCTGAGCATTCGCGTTGCCGGCCGCAAGCTTGCCAAAGTCCTCGTCGCTCAGCACCAGTGTCGCGGTAGCCTTCTTGCCCGCCGGAGCAGGACCCTTGCCGACCGTGCCGGTCTCCTTGAGATCAAGGTACCATGTTTCTTGTGTGCCGGCCTTGTTCTTGAGTGTGAAAGCGAAGATGGCCTTGCCGTTCTTGATGGCGTCTTTGCGGTCGGCGTCGGAAGCGGAAAGGGCTTGCGCGATCTCGTCGAAGGCGGCGGAGGCGGGGAATTCGTCTAGAGATGTGTTAGTTACGCTATTCTGGGTTTCTATAGGAGGTTTGGTAGGGTCGGCATGTGCATACCGTTCTTGAGAGACATGTTGGCGATGTGTTGCTAGAGTGGTGATGCGCTTCGAGAGAGGTAGAGACTGATGGCGATAGTAGCTAGGGGGAAGAGGTTTGTGGAGTCGGTGTCGCGAGTGTAGAACAGTCTGGGATATATAAGAGCTTCGGAGGCTTGTGACAGCAGTGATGATGTATGCAGCTGCGAATCTGGGGAAGCATGTGAATAAGTGAGTGGGCCGAGACCCTTGAAACGATCATGCCGAGGCATAACCGCTTTTGGATGGAGCACGTGGACTAGTTCTTCGGCAGGCTCGCATCTCTTTCCTCAAATTACTTCAAAGTTTAACGATCCCTAGCAGCGGACAACACCTTCAGGTTGCTGGGAAGTACTTTGGAGTCATTTGCAGCGGCTTACTCTGTTGCATTTCGTCGCACCATTGCAGTCAATCTGTGTTTCCACGAAGTGCCATTGCTACGACCTGATAGTTCTGGACGCTGGTGAGGTAGTTGCGGTGGACATTGAGACCGAGCAGCTTGCGGCGCATCGTTTTTGCGTTTGATTCGACTAATGCTGTTGCATCAAGAGGTCGGGATGGTTGCGCGTTATTGCGTCGCCGCCAAGCTGAACACGTGATTACGTGGAACAAGGAACGCGTCTCATGCGGGGACCTGAGACGCGTTCTCGCTCTCCTCTCATCTCATCATTCCGCCTCCTCAACATCAACCACAAGACTTGAACATTTACTTACAGCATGAGGAATGATCTTCATCAGACCTTCGGCGAGATCTTCAACGGCGACCCATCCGCTTTCCGCAAGCAATTACTAGAGGTCCAACGTTTCACAACTGATCGAAGCAAGGCTGAAAAATGGGCAAAGAAATTGCGGTTTCTGGATATTTCCGAAATACCAGATCTACAGGCAGAGAAGCAGAAACGAGACTGCCGCTACGCACTAGCTAAGGCTCGCCGTTATTTCTACGAGCGAAAGATACCGTCATGCGAAGTCCCCATCACGGAGCGTGAAGAAGACGACGAAGACGCATACATTGCTGTCTCATGGAGATGGGCTCACTTCGATGAGCCTGAACCCCCTGTATTCGATTATCGAATCAGGAGGCCGCATGCGAAGCGGCACAAAAGTGACTTTCCGGACCGCTACATGGATCGGGTAATACAATTCGCACAGAGCGTTAATGTGTCCAAAGTATGGATCGACAAGGAGTGCATATATCAGAGATCGGGAGACGAAAGAAAGTGGCCAAAAGATAAGGAACTGGGAGTTCAGATCATGGATCTAGTCTACGGCGACAGTGAAGTCTCGGTTGGCCTACTCACCGTGAAGCTTACGCGTCAACACGAAGTTGATCTTCTATCTGAGCTCCTGCAGGGCCGCATTTTCGTCGACCCCAGAGACAGAGAAAATCCAAAGTTGAGACCCGAAGTCAATGTTCTAGCAGTACAAAGGCTGATTCAGCGCATTCTTAGCGACCCTCGCTGGGATCGTGGCTGGATCTTCCAAGAAGATCACTTGGCTTCGAACAGGATGACCTTGCTCATACCGTGCGGTGCAAGTATTCGAAAAGATCGGGGCTATGACTTTGGTGATATCCTTGGGGATTTGAAGATCAAACTTAAGGATCTCCGACAAAATGCGACCATGTTTTGTTTGGCTCGTCCTGAGGAACGGCGGCCTAATACCGACATACTGAAAAAGCTCAAACAATACAACATCTGCAACAAGAGCTACAAACCGCTACAGGAAGACCATCTGTTGCGTTCCGGGAGCAATGGCGTTCGCGGTAATACTGGCGATAACAAGAACCATCGGCGCGGAAGCAACTACGAGATTTCAGCGTACCGAACGACTACGAACTGTGTGCTCGACGATATTTGCAGCCGTTCGTTGGAGAACGAGGAGGACAGAATCGCTATCCTTGCAAACGCTCTAAGATTTACTAAGCGCATAGATATCGGGAAAGGATCTCCGATACATAAGCCAGACAAATACAGCCTCTCTGTAGCTCTGCTCGCACTGATACTGGTGAATGGGGAGATATTGAAGAGTACGACATGGGAACCATCTGACCGTGCGCGTCTGCCCTGCGAAAGTAACCTGATGCAGCACACGTTACAATCATATCTCGCGGCATGTCAACACGAGTTTAGTGTCCCTAATCTGCGATTCCAGCAAACTTTCGTCGACCACTGTCGTCTCAAATCCCCAACTATCACGTCTCGTGGTCTTCAGACGGAAGGCTGGCTTTTCGAACTATTCCCTCGTGAGCGATCAAGAATACGAGCAGACCAGCTCAGCCTCCGTCTCACCGATTCGGATCGAGAAGCTCTATCTGATCTAGGCCGAGGTCCAGTGCTTCGGGGTACGAAGCTCGACGAGGATGCACATACGGCATTGGATGCACTGATTCAGAAGTTGGAAGCACTATGGCCAGGTAGCAAGCTCGCCAGCTACATGCGCAGACAACTGTTTTTTGATGAACATCTGTCGCGATCAGATTTACCACCGTCTGCACCGTACGTACTAGACATGATGTTCGCACTCTATCAAGCTCTTCGCGACGATCAAGAGCTTCGTTTGGGGCGGCTGGCTTCAGCACGTCCGCATACAGAGCCAACTGCCATCTTCATCAGGCCGGAGCCAGATGGTTGGAGGACAGAGCAAGCAACCCACTTAAACTCTGACGGAGCACCTTGCCTTGCAAAGATTTTCACGAGCTGGGATCAATCACATGATTCTGAACGACTGGCAAGCTTGGAAGTCGGTAGGAGGATCCAAGAGGCTCGTGGCAAGCGGGATTGTTTGCTGTATAGCGCTGGATGGGTGAATGGAGTTTGGTACGCGCAACGTCAGCCAATGGGAAAATATGTCTTTCCTCTCGCGGGCATTACCGAAGATCGACATCGGGTAGAATCCGTAGCAGGCGACGGGGGAAGGAGGAGGAAGAGGAAGAGGGATGGTGGCAGCTAGTACATGCGATCTATCTCTTCAAATGATTGATAGTATATGAAGTTCCGGCTTTGCGACACCTTCGGCTTTGTTCACCGTTTTCTTTACGATAATGCAAACAGAAGCAAACGAGCGTATCACCTGCTTCTTCACCGCTCTCCAAGAACCGGCACCGATCATTCAACCAAAGCATGTCTTCCCAGACTAAAAAGCTCGTCCTGAAATTCACTCTTACCCCGCTTACATACCTGTTCACTCACATCAACTCGCTCTTTCAATCGCAGCGCAGGGCATGGAAAGACTTCGCCGAAAATTGTCCGGATCCTGCTCTTGTAAACCTGATCAATGGGCCCATGGAGGATACTGGAAGACTGCTGAATATGACACAAAACTTTCTGCGAAAGCTCATCGACTTGGCAGAGATCAAACTGAAGCAGGTAGAAACGGAAGCACAAATAGCCGGTGCAGAATGGCTCGACAATCCGACCGATCCCATGAACAACGCCAAATTCCTCATGGCGAGAAAGATTCATAGCGCCTACTTCAAGCATATGAGGGAGGCTTGGGATGTTGGTTTAAAAATTATTCCTGGAATACAGGCGAGATTTGACGATATGGAGGACACGCTCGAGAAGCTCGCTGTGCTCATACCAATCGAGGAGCTGGCGCTGCCACTTGAGCCATTCGTAGTCAAGGGATTAGAAGTCAACGACAGGATGTGGGTGTTTGCAATAAGGTTGTTGGGCATATTGCGGACGGTTGATATCCCCCTCGGTGTTGCGACTGTGGCTGTCAACGTCGAAAAGTACCCAGAAGCGGACAAACTTGCGCGAGCAAGATACAAATTTGGGGATTACTGAGTGCTAGAGGACGAGGAAGTGTCTGGTACGTATCAAGAGCATCTTAGTTCGCTGCGAAGGTCTTAGATCTGGGTGTTGAATTCGTAACATCGTGGGCACTGATGAAGCCCGCTAGGTCGCTTGCGCTGTCTAGTCTATAAATCGCACTGGTCTATGCCCATCCAATTCTATAAAGATTATATCCGCTCTCGTCACCTCGTCCAATACCCCGTCTCTTCTCTACAAACTCTTTTTCCAGAATTCTGAATGTAAACCCGTCGTCGCTCTTCGGACAGAGCTCTGGTTCGAAAGCGGCTTCAACAGTATCGGGAATACCCTCAAATTTGCCCGTCTTGCGCACTGTGACCATGAGCCAGAACACACCGTTCTGAGCCAGGAGATGCGCCGCACAATCACGCAGCCAGGCGGCATGTTCTGGAGCGTAGACCACATCTGAGGCGATAAGAAGATCGGACGCTGATTTCATGTGTGTGGGAGGCTGGGCCCAGTCCAGTATTGCGGTGTCTACAGGTCGTGTGTCGTATGAGCTCGAAGGAAAATTTGTCTCGATGTTTGCGTTGCAATTCTCCAGAACCGCAGGGTGATAGTCGGTCGCCGTGATGCTGATGGGTTCAGCGCCGACCACAGGAAGTAATTTCGCGACTGCTAAGCTGACGAGTCCAGTGCCTGCACCGAGCTCGATGATTGTCCGCTTCCCCGCAAGACTGTCTTCAGTCAGTCCAAAGCGCTTTGGCTCAGCGCACATCATGCTACTGAGTACGATGCTGGCGCCCCAGGACTGGAGTCCGACTGCTGTATGATCTGTACTCGACAGCGGCGCATCATTAAGCGTGACCTTAATTGAATCTCCAGATGAAGTGGGGAAGCAGAAGTCTCGTGTCAGCGCCTCTTCTTCTTCCTCAGCATTCTCGAATAGGGTTGAAAGAATGAAGCCGGCATCGTCGACAAGTTTTTCTCGTACGTCGTCATCGACTTCCATCTCTTCCGAGCGCGCGAGAAGCGAGTTTAGCCATTGGGTGGCGAAAGTGCGCTCGAATGGGTCTGCACGCAGAGCTGCTGTCACCTCTTCGGTTGTGACTTGGTTCTCATCATCTTCGCCTTCGTCTTGAGACGCGTAACCGGAATCCGCGGGTCCAGGTGGTGAGACGATAGACGTGTGCTCTCTTTTCGATGTCGGGTGTGAGATAGTAGTTGGAAGGCGTACAGGACAGTACAGCGTCTGTAGGTTTTTGAGAGCGGCGAAGATCTGATCTTCCGATGCCGATAGCAGTGAACGAATAGGTGGTAAGCTGCTTGATGGTGGCAGACAACTGCCTGTAAGACTGACACTCATCTGACGCCTCGCTAACAAATGAACAGACCAAAGAACGCACACAGGGAAAAGGAATGTGGAGAGAAGAAGGAAAGAACTGGAGAAGACGTGGAGACAAGGGTTCAGTCAGAAAAATCAATCGGCCAAGGCAAGGGACAATTTGACGATACTTAGTTTAGCCTCACGCTCGGGCAAAGTCGTGACTTCTAGATCTTTTCACCGCCTGTCATTCGGCATCGTGGGCGTATGTTTGGATCGAAAAGGCAGGCGCACAGGGTGAGCTTGCTTCGTCGGACTTGCATATTGCATGCTAAAATCGTAGTACCCGTCACACTCGACATTTGCAAGACGGCATGCGGCACTGTGAACAGGCCAGCCGGTACATCTAGGGGTAGTGATTTTTGCGTGGGATGGCTATTGCCACGTGGGTCGCTAAGCCGAGCCTCATCGATGCTAGACCACGGAAGGCCTAGCTACTAGATCCAATGGTCAGAGACCCATCCTAGAAAACTTCGGTCAACACCGGCAAATACGAATTGTGCCGACGGAAATAGCCTTGAAACATCTTGGTATACTCTATCAGGAATCTCGCGCAACACGTCGATTGTAGCACTAGTGGCTTGGAACCGCCTTGTGGGCTAATGCCCAGGCTGCTCAGTCTCCGGCTACGCGGCCTTTACGATCGTGTTCTTTAGGTAGACAGTGATGGGCAATCCTGCTCTCTTCCGATTACAACTCATTTCTCCACCATCTTCTCATCCATAGCCTCCGGAGGTGTATCCGTGCCCTCACCCTCCACAACCATCGGCCCCTTACCCGGCTTCTTCCTCCCCGTGATGTCCATGTATATCGACTTGAATGTCCTGACACTTGTTTTTCTCCCCTCCCAAAGCGGATATAGCCCTACTGCGAAGCATGAGCAGAACATCCACAAAATGCCCACAACAACCCATCCAGTAAAGAACTTCTTGCTGAAAATATACGAAGAGCCGTACATGGGCATGGGCCACAGCACAAGGAAAGATACCGCCATGAAGAGCGTGAGCCAGCGCGCAATACGCGATGCTTTGAGTAATTTGGCTTGTTCTTCTTCGTCAGCTTCGATAGCTCGTCGTTGTTCACCGGGGATCCGTTCTAGATCGACGTTCGCGGCAAGAGCAAGATCGTGGTCGTCGCCCCTGCGGATAGCCTTCATGCTCTGCCAATCGTAATTCTGGGGTCCAAAAGCGTACGTGAAGACGGGGATGAAGACAATGGGGGAGAGGAGAGCGACAACGTTTCCTGCTAGCATAGGGTTATTGGCGCCGGTAGTCAGCACAGTGAGTTCACCGCTCTCTTTCTGGGCGGTGACGAGCCAAGCAATGAGGGAGCAGGCGAAGCCGAGAGGTGGTGTGAAGGTTGCTGCGACCCAGTTCATCTTTGACCACATCAGCGTTAGAGTGGCGGGCAGAACAGCGGAAGAGATTATGACGCCCATGAGGAGATATAGGTAACCCATGCTGATGCCGATGTAGTAAAGCCCTGTACTCCAGGCTGCCATTGCGACAGCGAAGCCTACAACCATGGTGTGAGACATGTAGATGAGTTGTTTCCCTGTAGCTTTAGGGTTGACATAAGTCTTTATTTCGTCAGTTCAATAACCCGTTTAAATGACCAGTAGAGCCATGCTTACCTGGTAGAAGTCATAAGTGAAAATGGAAGATACAGCAATCAGCTCAGCAGACATGGCGCTGGTCACAGCCATGAAGACGAGAAGCAGAACTGCAGCTGCTCCTCCCGAACCCATCAGGGCAACAGCGGCCGTGGGCAACACAAGCCCAGCTGTCACATCAGCATCAGCCATGCGGTTAGGATAGCCGGGGAAAACAGGGTTATTCTCGAGTGCGATTGCACTGAGACCCATCGTGGTAGCGGCTAGCCATGGAATCGCGAACCAAGACAGACCACCAATGATGTATCCGGGAAGAGCATCGACGGGACTGGCTGCGATGGCTTTGTTGTAGTATCCATTGTCGCAGAACACAGTACCGAAGTTGCCCACGATGTTGATCACGAAGAAGATTGCACCTTCTTTCGATCGCATGGTTAGGTAAGAGCCTCCGGCGTTTCCTTCGACTGGGTGATCCGTTGCGGCTTGTACCAATAGATCGAAAACTTTCCCAGGGCTTCCGAGATTCTCGTTGGTCGCATATGCGGTGAAGGCAAACATCAAGAGAATGATCAGAATGACAACGGTATGTGCTAGAGCTAATGTTAGCGACTTTTTGCTGCAAATGTAAAGGGAGTAACTTACCGTAGTCAGTCAAGAAAGTGGCTTTGATGCCTCCAAACATGGTGTAAAGAACTACACCAACCGGTAACAGGAAGCAAGCAGCAGCAGTTGGCATGCCGGTGAGCTTGAGTAGGTTAGTACAGATATATCATTCGCCGCGTTTGACGTACCGAAGTCACCACAGCGGAGCCTCCAGTCAACAACATCGAAGTGACAAGGATGTTGGTAAAGAGACCAAAGACCATAAAAACGACGTGCGTGACTGGACCGTATCTGGCTCGAATAACCTCAAGGAAGGTATGTGCATTAGGTGCTCTTCGTTTCAGCTCGATAGCAATCGTAGCAAATAGGATGATCTGCACAGTCGCTCCCGAGGCGTACCAGAAGGGGCCAGATACTCCATATCGGTAGGCGACTGCGCTCGATTGGAGAAGTGTTGCCGCCCATGTCCAAGATGATACTACGGCTGACGCGACAAGTCCCGATTTTACTGTACGACCAGCTGTCGAGAACATCTCAGAGGTTTGGAGTTCATAGTTGTATCTCTTCAGCACGAATGTCGTCAAGATCATACCGAAGCTTTGCCGAGTTAGTAATGCCCATGTATGAGAGACGTAAGACCTACGAGAAGGCAAAGCCTAAACCGATTACAATGCCATAGCCAAAGCCTTGGCTTAGCGGCGGAGGTGTACTCATGCTGGGTGAGTTAAAGACACCTCAGGTGACGAGCAGCTGGCAAGTGGAAAGTGCGATGCCAGAGGGATGTCGGAAGTTGAAATATGATTAACCTTACTGCTTAGCTTCGCTTGGGAGATTTCGCAGAAAGCTTCGGTCATGATCTGCCGGCATACGACCTCTAGGAGAGGGCTTTGACCATGATAAAGCAAGAGCATCACCGTTCATCGGCCGCACGCATAAGGCAGGTATAGCCAACCGTAGAGCTAGCGTGCATATTCGCGGATAATTATTCAAGGTGACAACGATCACAGCTCGACATCTGCATGGTTCTGCAGGCTTTCGTGGGGTTGGGCAACAGGAGGATGCACACCATGTGCGGAAACGATCTTCCAACCCCGGTATGGTCCGATAACGCGGCGGAACGATGTAGATAAGATGCTAACTTTTGTGTGGCAGTTTTGACTCACAGCTAGATTGCAACCAATCGCAGGCCTGTACGGCTTCGAGATTGTTGGGTTCAAGCAGCTGCTCGCGGCTGTCAAAACGCGGCTGTGTATCGCGTTGTTGAATGGATTGCCATGCGAGAGGTAAACGCTGACGATTTCGCAGCTTTCCAGCCATGGACGTCGAAACTACCGAGGCCAAGGTTTATAAACTCGATGACAAGATGCAGGAAAGCCGTTGGCACACGGAAAAAGCATCTGTCCAGCGTCTCTTCCGTCAAGCTTCCAGCGGCAA